GTTGAGTGGAGAATGTCCCTGCCTATGGCAGCAGGGCTGGAACAAGATGATCTTTAAGGTCCCTTCCAACCCAACCCATTCTGTGATTCCTGAGGAGATGACTGCAGATACACTGTTACAGAGCACGCAGATATGCCAACCAGAATACAGAACAAATTTCCAATTTGAATTGTAAAAATATGTTCATTTAAGTAAAACACATTCAGTACTTTTTTTTTTCATCTCATTTTACCATGTTCTCTTATCTCTGTTACTGTCTCAGCAGGTTGCCACAAGTAACATGAGCACAGCTTAAGGCATTCTTTCAAACATCTTTTCAAAAAAGGAAAAAAAAAAAGGCAGGTTTCGCTCACTCGTACCAGCCTTTGGAACACCTCTAGTTGCAATACATTATTTTTCAGACCTTCTAAGCAAATCTTTCATGTCTGAAAAGTTGTGATTCACAAACATCTCCCTACTTCAAAGACTTACCAGGTCACACATTTTTTTTTTCTCCCTCTCCTTGCTTCAGGAGACTAGATAATAAATTCAGCGTATGAACATTGGCTCCTAAGGGTGATTCTTTCAAGTATTCAAATGCTGCCTACCCAGCCAGGAAGCTGACGTGATCAGTTGTTATCCTGCTGCACAGGCAAGTAGAACTGGGAAAATTTGCTTAGAAAAAATCTGAATGTTCCTGGGGCAACTGTTTTTGTGCAAAAGTAGCATTTCTTTGGCAGCGAGTGCTAACTTTACTTACGCCAACTTCTCAGTGTTTTGCTGTGAAAGACAAGTTAATATTAAACTGTGTTTGGTATCTCAGCTACTGTCCTGAACATCCCGATCCCAGAGATGTAGCCACACAACATTTAGACTAGATTTCCAAACAGATGGGCTCCTGCCAGCTGATCTATGCATGTGTTAAAAGTAGATGTGAATATCTTGGCCTGCAAGTCAAACCATCATTCAAGGATCCCACTTAAAACATGTTAGGAACCAAAATACAGAGCACACTGTGCCAACGAAATACCCTCTTTGGTTGCCAGTGGGAATTTGTCTGTCTAGCTCTACATTAGAGAATTAAATTGCTGATGAGTACAAAGTATTAAATACTTAATAAAATCCGCCTCAATCTCTCCTTAAAAATAGGAAGTATAAGGACAAATTATATCAGTCATACTATTAAATATTCATGTGCAGGCTTCAGTATAAAAAGATAATAGGAGTGTGTTCAGAGTCTTTTAATGGTCACTGTAGCATCTTATAAGTGGTTTGATCTTAATATTAAATGTCTCTTTTAAAAAGTTCTGCAGTAGCTTACCTACTGTGTAGCTTACTTCTGCTTTTAATCACAGAGAAGGCTTTTATACTTCAGAGGGAACCACATATGACTCATGACAATTTATTATAAGTGTACAACAAATATTTCTCTATCGCTTTCTGGTATGTTGCAATTATAATTGTTTTTTTCTGAATAGAAATACAAACATACGCACAAAACTTGCCAGACTGGATCCTACCAGTGAACTGCCTCTATCATAAATCAAATTAAAAGTACAGTTTACTTCAAAGCTACTTAATGACCAGAAATCATTACTGTTGCTCAATGGTGTACAATTATCTTCTTTTTTAAAAAAAAAAATGTCAGTTACATTGCGTAATATTGAAACACTGGTAAAAATTAACAATGGTTTAAGATTATTTAAAACAAAAGTTTCAGCTGAAGCTAGAATCTCAAAAATCTGAAGAGTCATATTAGCTTTAGCTTTTTTTTTTTAAGTGTATAAAAGATCCCTTTATCTGATGCTATTGACATTTAAACCTTGATTGGATACGTGGCTTCTAAACTCATGTGGAAATCTCAGTCTTTCTATTTAGGTGAATTCTGGAAAATCCTCAGCTGATGATCTTTTATCTATCTACAATTAAAGGTCCACTCTCTATCACAGCAGAGCAGCAATGGAATCAGAACCCAGCTAATTAATAATGATTCAGACCCTCCTGTACAAATCAGTTAAGAGCTAAAGGATTTGGTTGCTGATTGGTAATACTCATTAAGAACATACTGTTGGCTAAAATTACTTTATTGTAAAGGAACCACAATTGAGAAAGTCATTTACAGTTGCATAAATGTTGGAAATATGGAAAGAGAAGTAGTATGGTGGGGAGTCTGGAGAAGGCAGAGAAAAGGGGATGAGAGCTAATGGCTGAAATAATGTGTCATAGCTTGTGAAAGAGGCTGGCAGGGAGAGGGTGGTGGTTGGGAGAACAGCTGAAACTGTGTTTACATAGAGACCAGAGCTGGAATTTACACTCACAGGACCTAAATTTTCCTCTCTTATACGTCATGTTTTGTCTCAGTAAGGCAGAGATTTAATCCTATATTACTTCTCCATTCATTATTGATCTTCACATGGTTTCATGTCTGATGGGTCCTTCTTCACAAGAGTTGAAAAAAAACCACGTTCTGTTAAAAACAAGAACTTGGGTTAAATTCTTGGGACATGTGATGGCTGGAAACAATACATCTCGTGGACCCTGCTAGATGAGCAATCCATCCTTGTGTCTTTGTAAAACTGCTAGAAGAAATACACTATTTTCATACTCTTTTAATGAAAGCTAAGCCACATCCATCAGAAGCCAAGTGAAATGTGAGGAAAAATGTTTTCATCATGCAGAGGCTGTGTTTTTTTCCTTCACTTAAGAATGAAAATAAAACTTACAAGGAATATTCTGTGCAGGGAATATTGATGAAACAAATGCAAAGTATTTCCTCTTGCTAACAGACTTCAGGATGTAATCTGTTTATTTATTCGGAAAACCTGTGTGCCTATGAACCAGCTCCTCCAGCATCAATTCCTCACTACAACTGTCAGCTGCTTTTTAGCACTCGTGGCCCAAAGCCAGAACCAACCTGTTACCCATCAGCATAACGTGGGAATAAATTCACCAGAATGGAAGTGAATCCAGCAGGTTCTCAAGGCTCCAGGAGCATTCAGGCTCTTTTCCCTGTGGATGTTGATTCAAGGATTCATGAAATCCTGGAATACTTTACTTATGGCCTTTTGTTTGGGCTGGGCCACCTCTCAATACACCTTCTGAAGACAGAACAGGGGCTAGAGCAGGGCTCTGATGTAGCCAAAAGAAGAGTCTGCTGTGTGTTCTCTCTTATCTCAGTTGATTTCTTCCATTTAGGAAGAAATTATTTTAATACAGGGCAGACGGATTAGCCAGTCAAGTAGGGCTTGAAGATTAGCTATGACATTGACCTCCCCACTCAAGTATTTGTCATTCCACCAAGAGAAGCTGTTAGCTCATACCTTTGAAGCAGGCAGGGAGAGTCAGGTTGCCATCCACGCATGGGACAGGTACAGTATAGGCACAGGACTTTTCCTTATTCTTGCAGAAGAAGGATACGGTTTCACCATGCTGAATGCCTTCCTTAAGGTCGTTCTGAACTCTTTTCTTCTCACCATTGTATAGTACTACAGCTTTCTTAACTGGTATTTTACATGGTCCTGTAAAACAATCCAGTTATAAGCAATATAGAAGGGTAATCAGAGCTCTGTCTGGAGAAGTGGGTGGATTAGATCACATCAGAAATCTGTACAAGTGACATTTGGGAATGGAAACCAATGTGTCCCACGCACATATAATAAGTTCTGCTAGCATTACAATGATGAAGAAATAGGGTCAAAAATCTTCCTGTGAAAGAAGGAAGATTTTGCTTTGGTAAAATTTCTAATTGCGTTAAATAGGAAGAGGAGAGGAAATAGACAAAATAGAATTACTTTGCTAATTGCTGAAGTCAGCTCACGTACATCATGTCACACAATGTTCAGTGGTGGTCTTTTAGGAAAATTCAGTTTGACATGTGGTTTTGGAGGGTGTATACCTTTACAGGTTGGCTTGGTGGACCAGTTTCCAGTCTTTTCACACCGGGAGTGCCTGGGTCCCTCCAGCACGTAGCCAGCCTGGCAGCCAAAGCTGACACTTTCGTTGTAGTGATAGGTTCTACGGGCAACAAGCTCTAGGAATCCATTTTCTATCCCTGTTGGAGTGGGGCATATCACAACTGCAGTGCAAAGACAAAACAAAAGTGTTATCAGTGTCACGGTTCTAAAAGACACACCATATACTTCAAAAAAACACATAGAACTTGCAGAGGGGTTCATTTCAGCCTCTTGCACAGGAAAACACAGCCATAGGAAAGATCGTTAAAAAAACCAAACAAAATATTACTTCTTTTTAATATGTATTGCAATCTGTGGTTATATCCAGAAACTACTTAAATGTGGCATAGTTTCACTGAAAACAATGGTCCTGTGGACTGAAGGTAAGACTGTCTACTTCTTAGATTAATCCTAGCATGAAGTAGGATGAAATGCTCACTGTGCTGTGGAGGCCAGGCTCTGATTCCCCACTGTGAACTACATTCAGTGGGTTTTGTTTAGATAACCTTTATACCTGCAGCAAATATTGTGTCAATCCTATGTTGCCCATTAGGAATCACCTGGCATTCACAAATCTGACTCCCAGAATAATTCTACTGCCTATTTCCAATAACAATTGTAATTAAGTTTGTTCCTGTAACTTTATATGTACAATTCTAGGGGCTACTTTTAGGTACTGATTAAAGTGAACTCCTTACCCTTGCACTCCGGAATGCTGCTCCAGGTCCCGTTGGCCGTGCAGGTAGCTGTCTCATTCCCAATCAGTGCAAGAGGAGGGACACATTCAAAAAGAATTGTGTCCAGGAAATAAGAAACATTTCCTGGCTTTAGGCGGCGGTAAGAAAGGACTCCAAATTCAGGGAGAGGGGGAGGTGCACAGGTCACCGCTAGAAAAGCACAGCATTCATAGAAATTAAAGATTAAAGATCAAATTACTACTAGAGTCACAGGAGCAACATGCTTAGAACCAAATTAAGCCATACCACCCTTTACAGAAGCTAGCTAACAAAATAAAAGATTAGATTAAAAGTCTCAGAAGCCTTGGAGTATGTAATTCATGGGTTTTGCTATATTTTTCAGACACTATTATGCAGTTACTGCTTTTTCAGTAAAATGTTCATGCAGGACACATTATAACAAACCCATATTTAACAGTTCCAAAGCCATGACAATATCCTCTTTTTATACACAGGGAGAATGAATTTGAGTGGATAAGCATCTTACCTCCAGCTGTAAATAGCATCCCTGATCCTGGCCTTTTGTGCAGACCTTTAAACTCTATTTCTCTCAAACTAGAATCCACATATCTAAAACCAAACATACAGGATCCTTCTTGACTGTTCTTAACCATATTTTGCACACCATTATAGGAAGCCTCTTAATAAAAGAATACACAATTCTGAGCAGTGTAAGGCAATCTTTCTGTAATAAGAGCAAGGACAGAGTAGTTCTTTAGTATTTCAACACGTACGTTGACATTGGGGTACAGTTCCACTCCACTTTCCATCTGCCATGCATTGGCTCGTTCTTGTCCCAACGAGGTTGTAACTGAAAACAAAACAACTTGTTATCAGAAAGCTTAAACATGGAGAAGAATCAAGGTTTTTTTTTTTCCCCAAAAGATGTAAAGGACATTCCTCATAAACACACTTAAGAGTCTTTTTTTTTTTTGCTTTTTCAACTATATAGTCTACCTTATATATTAATTTATACAACAGGTTGATACTGTGGATATAGGCAAGTAGTAAGCACTTATCTGTGATTGCTAATGTACATGTTATGGTTTCTTGGGAAGAACTCCTAGCTAATTATGGCAATTAGGATCAAACTATTGCACAGAACTCGGTGCTCTGAAGAACTAGGGTTGCTGAGGTGCATTATTTTATTTTGATGCCAGATAGCCCAATTTAATTTCCAAACACACTCTAAATGCTTCTTTCCCATCCTCTGTACCTACATTATTAGCACTTACTCTGAGTTTTAAAGAAATATCAATCATGTATCTATCCTTTCAGTATCACATAGCTGAAAACCAGTAAATTATAAGTAGCAAAATTAAATCAAGTCTCATTGATAAGTTTGGTGTCATAGTTGAATTTATTTATTCCTTATCTTGCTCCTGTTTTGCAGAAGAAGGAGTTAGCTGAGGCTGTTGGTACTTCTCAGTGAACTCTAGGGCCTTCCCAGGTAAGCATTGTGTCTTCATTAATTACCCAGGTAAGATGAACTGCATGCTACCATCAAGTATTTCCCTGCATTTACCATAACTATTTTTCTTTAAATGCATTCTCATTTCTAAAGCTACCAAGTAGCCTTGTGTAAAAATGCATTTGCTTTAGGGACCAAATTAGGATTAACCTCATGTTTTAATTTATTGAGCTTGGAAAGGCCTAGAAATAAAATTTTCAGTCTCCAGAGCCTAACAGTATAACAACTTAGATGGAGATTATCTTCTCTCTGCTGTAGGATTTCATCTCATGATGTCGTAAAGAGGATTTAAAAAGCAGGGGAAAGTAGTCCAGAATAAATCTTTGCATAAAATCTCTGTTATTTTGATGGTTTCCCTGTCTGTAAGACATTGATTTGGCATAGCAAAGCTCCAGGATGTTACAGCCAAGACTGAATGGAGGAGAATCACAAGATATGCCTTTTATTTTTAGTTTTGGAAGTCGAGGTGGGGTTTTCTGTGCAGTTCTGTAAGTTCCCTGCCTTGCAGTATTGCAGCAGTTCATGCTAGAAGGTAATATTGTGATTTAGGTTATTTATTTAACAGCAAGAGGAAGGGTATACTTACCCTGGTTCACATGAAAAACTCAGAGAACTCTGATAGTGATTGTCTATAGAATCAATTTTTCCATGTTGCAAGCGTCCAGGATGAGGACATCTCTTTGCTGTTAATCAAAGATTTAAAAAAGGATAATATTACTTCATGAGGCATGAAGTTAAGATAATGGAAACAAGTTGATCATAGTGCCTTTCACATTTGTCCACTCCTGTTTTGTAAGTCGAGCTATTCTCCATTTCTATCAAAACATAGTAGTTTCAAAGCTTTTGTGATTAAATAATGTTTAACATTTGATTGACTGAGGAAAATAACTTCTCTGCAATGAAATGATAAAATGAACAATGAGGGATACAATAAATGCAGGTGTTATCAAGCAGTATATGTTGCTAGGGTGTAAGTACTGAGCCAGCGTAAGGTTCACCTTGTCTGACTCCACTCTCCCTCACCATCCAGGAGCAGACACTTAGGGGAAAGTGTGGGACGTGTCTGGGAAGATCCTCCCCCTGTTACTTGCCCCTTCCCCCCCTCGTGCCCCGTTGTCTGCAGATAAGGAAGGGAAGGAGGGGCAGGTTCTGTGGGTGTCACTCACGCAGGCAGAGCAGCGTGTTGAGCGGCCACTTGCCGGTGGGCAGGCAGGTGTACTTCCTCCGGCCGTTGTTGGGGGCGAACCCGGGCCTGCAGGTGTATTCCACCTCCTCACCCACTTCGTACACACTTTTGTCTACATCGATGGTGGCAAAGAGCACTTCTGGTGGCCTGGAACAGACTGGGGAAAGGAGACGCTTTACAAGAAATTGGGCAGAAAGTTGGAGTTGGTTTTGTTGGGGTTTTTTTGCTCGACTCTCAAGCAGAGGTTTTTTTTCACCCTCTCAAGCAGAGGTTTCTGTATTATCACCAACTATATAGTATGTTCCTGCCACGAGCTAAATGATCCTTCTGTAATCTGTAGGTACATAATTTACTGAGGCAGCTGATGGCTGCTATAAACATTAGCCAGAAAAAAACATTCGTCTTCTCCTCAGCAGCTCTGTCAGTGGCTCTGGTTGGATTTTGTGTCACTTTTTTTTTTTTTTTACTTTTGCTTCAAAATGGATTTATGAAGGTTTTCTGCAAAGTAAGTCAATTGTGCCAAATTATCTTGGATAAAAGAGGGCGAGAGGGACATAGAAGCAAACTAATGCATTTCATTTTTAATCTCAATTAGTTTGATGGAGTCAGCCTGAAATGAGAATATTTTTTTTTTAAATGAAATTTCTTTTGCTCTGGTTTCCCCAAGTTTTCTGTTCAGTGGGGCAAAGGCTCTGTTACATTAGACATCTCTGATTCTCAAAACAGCTTTTACATGTTGACAGCATGAACAACTCATCACCTGGAGAGTGAGAACAGGAGGGGAGCAGTGAGGAGGGAAGAAGGGTGAAGACTCTGCTCCTGCCACGGGCATGGAGAGCG